TTGTTTTGATATTAGGTTGTTGTAACTAGATTTTTGTAATCCTGATTAATGAGGTGTTTATACTGTACCCTATCTCTGAGAGAGATGTCAATGAAGTCTGTACTGGCGACCTTGGTCAAGATTCTCCCATACAGACCTCCTGCTCGGTTAATAAAAACTAATTAATGAGGTCTTATTTTGGTAATGGTTATTTAACTCTTGAGAAGAGAATGATAGGGTTCACTGTTGTGTAAGAAACCTTGAAATATTCGTTTTTGTTGCTCTTCTTTTTGAAATTTGAAGATATCAGAAATGTTCAGAATACTTGAATTTATTATAAGGTGCTATCTTTAATTTTTCCAAATTACCTTTTTGTACTTTGGTTTATTTTACAGTTTGTGATGCTATAAGTAGGGAGCAAGAGGAAGACGAACACCTCCAGCAACTGGAAGAAAGGTTTCTTCAAAAAAGAAAAAATTCACCCAACCTCAGGTAAAAAAAATTATCATAAATTTTACTTATCAGTCAGTTGACTGGCTCAAAAAATTTGGTGCATTTAAGTGATATTGATTTTTTTTTCTTGTCAGGAATATTAAAGAAGATGATGACGATGGAGAAGAGCAAAGTGATAATGACAGTATGGATGAATCCAGTGATAGTGAGTTCTCTCTTGGAGATGAACCACTAATGGAGGTGCATGTAAGTGGTTACAATTATTTCCCTTTGTTAAGAACAAAAGTAACAAATGGTGAATAGTTTTATGAATGATTTGTTTAATGCAATTTGTAATTTACATAATTCGACCTCGGCCCACAAAATTTCATCACAATTTGTAATTTACATAATTCAAAATCTTTTGTTTAGCGTCACTGCAAATTTTCTTAGTATATTTCATGGACTACCTACTGTTACATTCATTTAACAACTTTTGATGACAGAAGTGAAATTTCATTTGACCTGCAGATAAAAATCAAGCAAAGATATGATCATTGCAGATGAACTGCAATTTTAGGAATTGCATGAGAGAAGCCTGGAAAAATTCAGGCTTGGATGGGACTCTTGAAAAGAAGAATCCTTTAAATTTTTCCTCACTCCCGGCCCTGTGCCATGGCTATGTAGCTCAGTTTGTAGTAGCGCCCAACTAGTATCTGGGAGGAATAGGTTCCAACCTATGCCTGAATTTTTCAGTCTTCTTATCTGCAATTGCTTGAGACACTAAACTTTGCCCCTTTACACCCTGACATCAGTATGCATATTGTCCAGGCTGTTCTCTACACATTTCGTATGATGCTGACAAGGAGAATTTGCTTATCAATCATGAGTATCTGTAGTTATTGATCATTTTCATTTTTCTCATGACCTTAATGTTTGATTCAGGGGTGATACTGTAATTAGAAATTAGATGCTAATCTTTCCTAGGGGTGAAGGGAATGGTTGGTGGCAAACTAGTAAAGAAACTGTACAGATCAGAGGGTGGGTGTGGGGGGTTACTGCAATGGAGTATAGTCAAGGGGAAGAGGCAAGGGAAGTGGTATGGGCTGCTGAACTTGTGTGCAGACATGAGCATTCAGCAGTATTTTTGAAAATGTTCTCTATAGGTTACAAACATGATGAATCAGTCCATGCAATCAATGTACAAAGCCACAAGTTCAGGTCAAAACTCTGAAGACGAGGGCGAGCTTGATCAGATACCAGATCCTACCAAAGCAAATGAAATATTACCAGGTAATCTCTGCACATGGCACCACCTGGTAACTAGGGTTAAAGCATAATTTTAATTAAACTGGGACAGCATTTTTTTTTTGTAGGTTTAAAATGGAATTCAACTTAGATGGGTGATGATTATGACAATTTATCTTGAACAAAGGGAAACAAAAATAAAACTAGTTTGAAATTATTTTGACTGAAATTCATTTTAAACAACAAGTGTTACAAAAACTTACCTTTTTAACAAGCTCATATTTTAATAAAACTCAGTTCCAGACTCGAGGTGGAGGTTAATTGCTAAACAAACAATTGTGCCACAGTGCTTTTGACAAATTCCTATCTTAAATCTTCGATTTACAATAACACGTTTCATTTTTTTTCTTAGGTACTGCTGTTCCAGGTAGTGAAAGTATGTATAAGCATGAAGAGAAGTCAAGCAACAAGACAAACACTTCAGATGTCAACCAAACCACAATGAAAGATATTGATCTCTTATCTGTAAGTGTTATACATGTAATTTTTATTATTTTCATATATACCAAAAGGACACTGTGAGGTAAATTTTCAAAGGCAGACATCTTGTGCCTTTGCCATTATCCAGGTTGGTCATGACTTTATTACATTCACTTGTCATTGTTGGGTTCTTTAACCCTCTCACTCCAAGATCTCATTAGTAATTCTCATTACTGTCTGTAATACCAATTTTATGATGTTACTTTTGAGAATTTGGTATTGGATCAACTACTGGTCTCCTAATTTATATATTTTATTCTCATTACTCGTCTGCTTCATTTTACAGTGATTTTGTAAGGAGAAATTCTATCTTGATCACTTATCAGAGTTAAACAGTTAAAAAATTTGAGTAAGCTGTTTGAATTAATTTGTACTGTAACAGTTACATTTAGACAACTGTCAGTTATTTAAGAGCATCATTTTGCAAGTCTCATTGTAGCCTGGCAGAGTTCTGCGGTGAGACAATTGACAAGTGCTCTAAAATTGTGTTTCAGAACTAAATGAAAGATGCAAATGGGAAGAGGAAAAGAACCCCTCATAAAGATGAGAAGGACACACGGGTGACACCCAAGAAAACCAAGAGAAGTTTACAGAGGAATGTTAAAGAGAAACCTGCTAAAGACCCTGGTCAGAGCAAAATTATTGTTTTATTGTATATGATTGAATGTTCTCCATTATGAAACCTGAGTCAGTTAAATAAAGCCCAGTGACAAATTCAGGACTTCTTCCTGGTTGGAGATCATGACCTCATGATCCAAGTTGAGAGCTTCACTTAAATGCTTTAAGAAAAGACTTCTTTGCTGTATTAATACTGCAACTCATATTTTATTCATTTTTTGCCAAAGAATTTGAGCCCACCCAATCATCAGTAAAATTCTCAGACATTGGAGGCTGTGATGACACTGTGGAACAAGTTTGTAAACTGCTGGTTCACATGAAGCACCCTGAAGTGTTCCGCACACTTGGGGTGACCCCACCTAGAGGTTTCCTCCTTCATGGTCCCCCCGGGTGTGGCAAGACCTTACTAGCTCATGCTATTGCTGGGGTATGTGCAATTTGTTTACCTTGTGGCTGGTACCATTTGTTGCTTTTGGTGTGGTGGTATTGATTCTGGTGGCAGAGAGATCCATTAAAATGAAATGATTAATTAGTTATAATCAGTAGCTTCCAGGTTCAGTGATGCTAAGTTTTATTAGGCAACTGTGAGAAAAAAAAGCAGGTTAAGAAGGACATGTTTTGTTTCTGACTTATATTTCTGTAATGTATGATATTTTTACATTTTTAGCAATAAAATTCCATAAGTGTCACCTAGAAAATATTTGTAGCATAAAAGCCCTACAAGTAAATTCATTCAAAATTCTGCAAAATAGAAATGAGGCAAACAGGTGCCATCACTTTTTTTTTTAATTGACAATTCGCCATAGAAGTAGATATAATTGTAACTTTCTACCCACAGGAGTTGGAAATGCCTTTCATCAAACTGGCAGCTACAGAAATTGTGTCAGGAGTGTCTGGTGAATCAGAAGGGAAAGTCAGAGAGTTATTTTCACGTGCTGTGGTATGTGATGATTATATTCTGCAGGTTCAGTTTGGTTCTCCCTTATCAATTGAGAGAGACCCACTGTCAGTGCTTTAGCCCTGTATATTGATTGAGGATTTGGATGCAGGTGACTTGAAGAGTCCAACACCTGTTGAGAGAGTACAAAGCAGACTACTTTTCCTTCTTGTCGCCATGTTCCCACCAATAGCATAGCTCCACTTTGTGCATATAAACCCACACACAACCCACAATTCCTCCATTTGCTCTGACAAAGGGCTAATGTTCGAAACATCAGCTTTTTAACTCGTTACGGTGGCCAATTTACAATTTCAACTTAGTTGACATAACCAAATTACTTTTCCCTCTGTCTTGACTCTTTGTTTCCAAATTTTTCAACCATGCAGCTAATTAAGGTGCATAGAATTTGTTTTCTTGAACCCAAAGTGCTTTGACAGGAGTTAGTTGGTACACCCTTCCAAAAAAGCTCACAGAAATGTTTGTCAAGCACTGTCAGTATTGCCGAAGAAAGGAGCTCGTGCAGCCACCTCTTAGATTTCAAAAAAACAGCTATCTAACATGGAATGCACTACTAGGATGAATATTATTTGTAGCCTAATACTGTGATTTCCTTCTTAGGCCCATTCTCCATGTGTGTTGTTCCTGGATGAAATAGATTCTATCACACCCAAAAGAGAAACAGCTTCTAAAGACATGGAACGAAGAATTGTTTCACAGCTTTTGACTTGCATGGATGGTTAGCCAAGTTAATAGATATTATCAATAAATCAATGCTATGTGCCAACAATAGCTCACAAATGTTAGCAAGCATTGAAATGATATAAACCATTATTCTCTTACGGTTGACTTGTGCTTTGGACCTTTTTAAACCTAAACTGTGAAGGGATGAGATGCAGTGTTCTTTGATTTCCAGACCTGAACAGCAACTCAGATGCTCAAGTAATGGTTATAGGAGCAACTAATAGGCCTGACTCCCTTGATCCGGCCCTGCGTCGTGCTGGCCGGTTTGATCGGGAAATCTCCATGGGTATTCCTGATGAAAAGGCAAGAGAGAGGTCTGTTACTTAGGGCACCCTTTTCACTTTTAGAATTCATCATTTCACATGCATTCATCCATTGATTTCAAAATAACTCACTTCCATTACAACTACTTTGCTAGTCTTTTGTTTTTGACTTGTTGTCAACTTGACTCGACTGTTACCATTTCCTGACAATCTCGAGTTTCTTTCCCCGAGTAAGTGGTATTCCCATTTTTCTTGTTCTGTAGGATTTTGAGAGTTCTTTGCCAGAAATTGAGGCTAGAAGACAATTTCTGTTTTTCTGTGCTGGCTCGTCTTACTCCAGGATTTGTTGGAGCAGATCTCATGTCCCTCACGAGAGAAGCAGCCTTAATAGCAGTTAACAGGTATGATAACAAACTAACGTAGCAATGCTTTTACATTGATATTATTACACGACTCGGGCAGTCAGAGGGCCAATAACTAAAATCAACCAATCAAAATGCTCTATTGCCGGTCAATATTCTCTCAGTATTGGACCGGGCACTGTCCCGAATGGTCCCGAATGATACCACACTTGTGTCGCTTTGAACTTCAGTCGTATAATAAATCTCTTATTAACCAAGCTTGCTCGGGACCGTACTGGAAGAATATCGGCCCTCGGTCTTTTTTGTACGGACCGAGCGCAGCGAGGTCCGTACTGTCAAGACCTCGGGCCGATATTCTCCCAGTACGGCCCTCGCGCTTGGTTAATAAGATATAT